CAGCAGCCCATAGCCCTTCCGGTCTTTGCAGCCGAGGTCTGCTCCACGGGCCACCAGCAGTTTCAGGACCTCCAAATGCCCTGAGAAGAAACGGAGGGGGAAAAAAAAAAAGCAGGCCTAGGGTGAACCAAAGGCCCCAAGCTCCTCCTCTTCCCTCCAAATAGCGCAACCCCCATCCCTGCCCTGGGAATCCTAACAGTCAAATCCCTTCTTTTCCTATGGCGTCTCTCACCTAGAAATGCTGCCCAGTGCAGTGGCTGCCGCTCCTTTTTATCGCAGACGTTCAGGCTGGCTCCCTTGTTCAGGAGCAGGTTCACCGTCTACAGGAGGATACAGAAGACACAGAGACAGGTTCCTGTCCTCAACCTACCCGAGGGCAGAGGCCGCTGATCTCCTCAAGAGGAGGAGGCAGCCTGGGATCTTTTCAATTCAGTGCCTCTGTTCTAGAGCAGAACAATCTGGAGGAACAGCAGGAACAATGGTATCAGGCACCAAAGACACCAGTGGATAAAGGAGACGAAGGATCTCTTCAGGTGCTCTGCTGGCTCTCAGACTCTTAGGAGTCTCTGGGAATGTGTTGAACAACATGGACGTCCTCTTCATAAAAAAGATACAGTTATAAAAACATCTCTGCCAGGCAGTGGTGGTGCACACCTTTAATCCCAGCACTCGAAAGGCACAGGGCCAGGCGGATCTCTGAGTTTGAGGCCAGCCTGGTCTACAGAGTGAGTTCCAGGATAGCCAGGGCTGCACGGAGAAACCTTGTCTCGAAAACCCAAACTAAACTAACCCCCCCCACAAAAAAAAAAATCTCCATAGAATCTCAAAAGGTCCTCCTGAAGTCCAAGTCAAATTTTAGGGTAAGTACTGTGGCACACAGCCACAATAACTAGTACTTGGGCAGGAAGACTATTATAAGTTCAAGGCTGTCTCAAAAAAAAAAAAAGTAAAAAGTGGGGTGTAGACACCGTTGAGCACTTCATCACTTGCCCTACCATCAACAACACTAGAAAGCAAAAGGATTTCCATCTATGCATTGAGAGTGCAGCTCGGTGACACAGCCTTACTAAGTGTGTGCAACAGTGGTTCAACACAAGCTCAGTGTAAGCGGGGCACTCAGAAGGCAGAGGCAGGTAGACGAAGGTGAGTTCCAAGTTCAAGTCTGGTCTCATCTACACAGCCAGTTCCAGGCCAGCCAAGCATACATAGTGAGACCCTGTCTCAGAAACAGACAAAACGCACCGGGCGGTGGTGGCGCACGCCTTTAATCCCTGCACTCGGGAGACAGAGGCAGACTGATCTCTGTGAGTTCGAGGCCAGCCTGGAATACAGAGCGAGATCCAGGACAGGCACCAAAACTACACAGAGAAGCCCTGTCTCGAAAAAGCTAAAAAAATAAATAAATAAATAAATAAATAAATAAATAAATAAATAAATGAAAATAAAAAACAGACAAAACAAACCCCACAAATCCTCACTCTAATACAATCATTTGTGGGGTGCTCGAACCCACATTTTTACCATCTGAGCTGCTCCTGCCCCAGGAAGCCTGGAAGCATGCTCAGTGGGAAGGGAAGGGGAGATCGTGCCTAGACGGGACCGGTCCTCACCTCAAGATGCCCACTGTGTACTGCGTGGTGCAGGGCACTGCGACCGCTCCTGTCTGCCACGTTGAGGCTGCTCAACAGGGGTGCCAGAGCCTCGGCGCACTTGGTGGCCCGGTTGGCAGCAGCCACGTGCAGTGGCGTCTGCCACAGCTTGTCCCGGGCGTTCACATCAGCCGAGTGTGCCAGCAGCAGCCCCAGCACCTTCTGTGGAGGAGCAAGGGACAAGAGAACAGGACGTAAAGTGCCAGGAGGGGCTGGCACGGTGCACATGGCCCATCTTCCCAGCGCGGCAGTCCACCTCTTCAAGCCTGACCCCATGAGAGCGCAAACATCTTTGCTGAGGGAAACAGAGCTCTCTTCCTCAAGACACCTATCACCGTCCAACCTAGCTCTTGACAAATCTTCACTCCATGTACATCCGCCCTAGGTAAACCCATATAGCCCAAGCCTACTGCCAGGAAAAGCAAACGCTCCTATCACATTAATGGCCAACACCCCCCCCCACCCCTTCCTCCTTCCATAGGCACCGAAATCCTATCTATTACCCCAATAAACACACACACTGGGCCCTCTTCAAAACCCAGGCTGAAATGCCCCTCTTGAACACTACACACATCATTCTACTTGGCCTCAAGCTCCCCCCGCCCAGGAAGTAATGAAGGATCCAAGAAAAGGTCTGTTCCCTCTCCTCGAGGTTGGTGGCAACACAGCACGGGACTCCGCAAATGAGTTTGGCCCCTTAGACAGTTGGTTGCTTGAGCGGCAAGGATACAACAAATCACTATTCCGCCCCCCATCACCACGAGAGACACCTCGGTGCCCAGAGGGGGACCAGACTGAAGGTGGCCCCCCAGGGAGGGATGACTCACTCAGGCCTGGCAGCAGAGCCCCGCAGTCTGCCAGCCCAGTGCTAAGCTCTCCCTGACGTCACATCAGCTGGCGGCACTCGCCCCCCCCCACTTACCAGCCAGTTCTAGGGGCAGGAAGGAGGGGCCAAAGTCTGGTCTCCTCCCTATGTGGGGCAGGATGGTCCGCAGGGCAGAGAGCTGAGTTTCTCTAACCCTTCACCGCCACCCATCCTTTTTGGAAAGGTGAACTGAGGTGGGGTCCATACCTCGTTTCGGGAGGCCGCGGCTCGATGAAGAGGGGTCAGCCACAGTGTGTCCTTAGCGTTAACATTAGCACCTGTGTGGACACAATTTCCTATTTCGTTGGGATTTGAGGGGTTGGGGGTGGGTGGGTGGGGGGAAGGGAAACCAGCAATCGCAGTGGGGAACCGGAATGGACAGACAGCCATTCCCGGGCCAAGCACCAGCGATCAATCCGCGGGTATGAAGAGACTTCTCCCCTCCCTAGGCGCCACACCTTCCAGCTCCCCACTTTCACCTGACATCAGTAGCAACTGGAGGATGGGGACATCGCCTACGTAGGCAGCAGCATGCAATGGGGTTCGCCTCTCTTGGTCCTGGAAAGGCAGAAAGAGAAAGCAGCTGCGGAGAGAAATCACCCTGGACGCTGCCGCCGGTTCAAGTGTGAGAACTCCAAGCCCTCCCCCTACGATCCCTTCTTCCAGGTTCTGCAGGGACTTAAATCCCAGTGCGGGGATTCAAAAGCCAGCATCCCGGGAGGGTGGAGTCAGGGCCACCGACGGAGAAACCTACTCCTTCTTCCCGGAGGGGTGGGGGCGCTGCAGACCCCGATGGCTGAGCAGAGAACATCGTTTTTTTTTTTCCTGGGTGTCCCCAGAACGCGTTGGCCGGTGCTCCATGCCTGACCAGCCTTAAATGCGGAGCAGGCTTCTCCTTTCTGAGCAGAAAGCGCTGCAGTTTCATCAGGGCAGAGGAGACACGGAGCCGCCCCGGCTTGTGGGGAGGGGTCCCGAACACCGGAGCCCGGATTCCGGCTCGCCCTCCTCCCTGCTCCCAACTCACCAGCACATTGATGTTCTCCTTCTGCGAGAGGAGGGAACGCACTTCCTCCACATCTCGGCTAAAGATGGCCTGGACCAGGGGCGGCTGCAGGGAGAACCAGCTTTCAGGGAGCGGGCCCGAGCCAGAGCGGAACCGGGGGGTGGGGGAGCACCCGGGCTGGAGGGGGGCGTCGCTGGAGGGGCTCCGCTACGGGGGTCCCGGCTGCAGCGGGTCCCTGCGGTGCCTCCACCGGCCGCCAGGCCCCCAAGGACACCC